AAATTAGAAAGTAGGCAGCACACAATAAGCATATTATGACACCATTAACCATATACATGTAGCAGAAACTCGATGCAACATGGCCGCCGCTCTCAACATCCAATCAAAAATTTGATACTGTTATCGCCATTTTCTATAAAGTCACTGTATGTTCTCTTTTTTGAAATAAGTTCCATTTCCTTGAATGAACGCCGTAGGTTTACTCGAGCTTTTGTTTACCTTTAAAGGGATTAATTTTGACAGTTCTCTGAAGTGTTCTTTTATCTTCTAGTTGCTTGATAACTTCATTGACTCAGTTTCGCACATATACCTAATTTACGTTCTAAGACCTTTTGATATGTGTATTTCGATGACGCACCACTTATTAACATCGGATATTTCTCTTAGGTTTCCTCTGTTTCTCCTTTGGTCCTTTCTGTTATTCCTTGTTTTTGAATATTCGTCCCTTACAATGGGATTTTGATGGAACTACCGTTTTGATAAATAAATAATAAATAAATAAATAAATAAATAAATAAATAGATATCGATACCATCGAGACTAAGTGGCGCCCTATCCGGTTTATTATATTTCCTTTTGCCTTATTATTACTAGCGGAAGTGTAGAGGTGTTTTCCTCCGCTAGGCTTTAATGGGAGGTGATTTTCATGCTAGTACCAATGCTCTCTTTGTTCTAACCAACAGTTATCCTGTAACGGACCGGTATTCTAAAATATATCTTAAAGTTTGATAAGGGCCGAGGTAAAACGTTAAACTGTCAATCATATTTCGTGTTATTGTTTCTCGACTCTTTTTGTTCCCAACGTTGTCCCCTTGGACAATAAAATTGTTTCCCCTTGGCTTGCCTCTATTTAGGACGTTATCTCGTTCGGGCTCACCGGAGTTGCCGAGAGAAGCGTGGGCGCTTGTAGAACTTTTTGGCGTAGTAATCATGTCTTGCAGGTCCAGGATCTGTTAGCGGAATTGTCTGAACGTTGCGAGCTTGAACGGTTCCGTGGTCAGCTTTTCCATCTCCATATTTGGACACTTGAACTTAATTCAAAGTGTAGCACTGCACTGGGACCGGAACCCTTGTGGTAACGCGGTTTCGTTGAAAGGGTCGTCGGACCAAATGTAGCATTAGAGTTTTAAGGTCTAAAATGCCATCCGGCTCGAAGGACCAAATGTCCGTAACACCGTTAGGGTGTTAGGGTTGTAAATCCTAATCCTCACCCAATCATATCTTACACGAGATAGAATGCGGTCGGGGATTGTCTTATATCTCAAACCCGCTACGTTACCCACCGTTCGAGGATTGTTAAGTGATATCACTGTAAGCGTTTACATGCTATTTCTGTCACAGATGTTTACTTCCTTAACATACTACAATTACGTTTAAAACTAGAAAACGCTTATCGCGCCACTTTTTGTCACTAACAACGCATTTGAAATTTTTGCAAAATCTTTGAAGATAATTTGTCTTAGTTTACGAGGTCGTAAATGGCCACTATGGCCCCTTTTTATCGGGGAATTTGAGTCTGTTATCACGCTAGATGTAGAAGCTACAGGCTACTAGTTTCTTTTTGTACCTTGCATCTTACTCAATAACTTCACGTATTGCACATTGAATCCTGCATCTTGCACATTGTATCTTGAATCACTCTTCACTCTTCGCTCTTCGATCTTCGCTCTTCACTCTTCGCTCTTCACACTTCACTATTCACTCTTTACTCTTCACTCTTCACTCTTCACTCTTCACTCTTCACTCTTCACTCTTCACTCTTCACTCTTCACTCTTCACTCTTCAATCTTCACTCTTCACTCTTCACTCTTCACCCATCACTCTCCACTCTTCCCCCTTCCCTCCACTCTCCACCCTCCACCCTCCATCCCCATCCTCCACTCTCCACCTCTCAAATCTCAAATCTTAAATCTTAAACTCTTGAAACTTGAATCCTGAATCGCGAAACTTGAAATCTTGAATCTTGAATGTTGCATCCGCGAATCGCGAATCTTGAATCTCTTGTATCTCTTGAATTTCTTGAATGTCTTGAATCCCTTGAATCTCTTGAATCTTTTGAATCTCTTGAATCCTGGAAACTCTTGAATCTCTTGAATCCCTTGAATCTCTAGAATCCCATGAATTTCTAGAATCCCTTGAATCCCTTCAATCCATTGAATCCCTTGACTCCCTCGAATCCTCTGGATCTCTTGAATCCCTTAAATCCCTTGAATCCCTTGAATCCCTTGAATCCCTTGAATCCCTTGAATCCCTTGAATCCCTTGAATCCCTTGAATCCCTTGAAACCATTGAATCCATTGAATCCTTTGCATCCCTTGAATCTCTTGGAATCCCTTGGAATCTCCCGAATTTCTCAAATCTCAAATCTTAAACTCTTGCAACTTGAATCCTGAATCCTGAATTGCGAATCTTGAAATCTTGAATCTTGAATGTTGCATCCGCGAATCGCGAATCTTGAATCTCTTGAATTTCTTGAATCTCTTGAATGTCTTGAATCTCTTGAATCCCTGGAATTTCTTGAATCTTTTGAATCTCTTGAATCCTGGAAACTCTTGAATCTCTTGAATTCCTTGAATCTCTTGAATCCCTTGAATCTCTTGAATCTCTTGAATCCCTTGAATCTCTAGAATCCCTTGAATCCCTAGAATCCCTTGAATTTCTAGAATCCCTTGAATCCCTTAAATCTCTTGAATATCTTGGAATCTCTTGGAATCTCCCGAATTTCCGCAATCTCCCGAATTTCCTATTCACTTGAACCTCTTGAATCTCTTGAATCCCTTGAAACCATTGAATCCATTGAATCCTTTGCATCCCTTGAATTCCTTGAATCTCTTGGAATCCCTTGGAATCTCCCGAATTTCTCAAATCTCAAATCTTAAACTCTTGCAACTTGAATCCTGAATCCTGAATTGCGAATCTTGAAATCTTGAATCTTGAATGTTGCATCCGCGAATCGCGAATCTTGAATCTCTTGAATCTCTTGAATTTCTTGAATCTCTTGAATGTCTTGAATCTCTTGAATCCCTGGAATTTCTTGAATCTCTTGAATCCTGGAAACTCTTGAATCTCTTGAATTCCTTGAATCTCTTGAATCCCTTGAATCTCTTGAATCTTTTGAATCTCTTGAATCCTGGAAACTCTTGAATCTCTTGAATCCCTTGAATCTCTAGAATCCCTAGAATCCCTTGAATTTCGAGAATCCCTTGAATCCCTTCAATCCCTTAAATCCCTTCAATCCCTTGAATCTCTTGAATCTCTTGGAATCTCTTGGAATCTCCCGAATTTCCGCAATCTCCCGAATTTCCTATTCACTTGAACCTCTTGAATCTCTTGAATTTTGTGAATCTTAAATTTTGCATTTTCGATCTTGGATCTTGAATCTTGTAGCTCCCATTTTGCGCCTTCCATTTTACACTTTTCATTATGCGCCTTCCATTTTTGGTTGCATCTTGAAATCTTACATCTTCCATCTTGCACCTTACATATTTCGTTGAAAGGGTTGAAGAACCAAATGTACCATTAGGGCTATAAGGCCTAATGCCATCCGGCTCAAAGAACCAAATTAAGCGTTAGATTTGTAAATCTTAATGCTCACCCAAGCATATCTTACACGAGATAAAATTCGGTCGAAGATTATCCTATATCTCAAACACGGTACGCTACCGACAGTTCGAAGATTGTTAAGTGATAAAATCATTATAAGCGTTTATATGCTATTTATATCACAGATATGTACTTCCTTAACCGACTTCAGTTACGTTAATATCTAGAAAACGGTTATGGGTCAACATTGTGACAATATGCTTAGTATAGTTTTTACTACCTGTGCATTTTACTTCCTAGTAACAAAATAGTGTACACATTGCCGTGCATTTTCCTTGTTATACTTAAATCTGTTGAACAGAGGCACAAAACGTGGGAGTTGGTGCACAAAATCATCACTAGGCCTTTTTGGTTATTTTTGTGTATTTGCATGAAAATCAAGAACGAAGCAGTTGATACATGGAAATATTTATAAACGCGTTTCGCGTGATATACTTAATTGCAATATATTCTTTTTGATTTGAATATTCGAAATCACGTCATAGCTGTTCGCAAATGTATTGTGACTATCTGCTCAAAATTCAATGTATACATTAACCATGCATTGTCAATCACGAAAATCCTTCAACTTTCATTCCGTGACAATTGCGTTTATATGCACGGACATTTGAAATATATGGGCATGAATATTTTATGAGAGTAATTATTTCGCTTCACAATTTTTCATATGTAAAAACATTTCATTAAAAATATTGCTTTCCGGATGCGCGTACGAAAATTTTAAGCCGATTTGTTTTTTCGACGTTTCCCGTAATTTGGAAGCGTTCAATGTAAACAGTCGGATAAATCAATCCCTCAGGTTTCAGTGGAGAATGAAATGTAATCCGGCGGTAGAATGTGCATATTTCAGCTGTTTTACACGTTTTACGTCGGTAATTAAAAAGCTTACTTTCCGCGCAAATAGTATTTAAGAAAGTTTCGTTGCCTTTCGGATGTAAATTCTGAACGTCTTATGAGCTTGTATAACAAAGCTATAGAGGGTGCTTAATTGTAATGCAGGCAGTGTTTACATCCTACGTCTGCGTTGCAGCAAACGAATCTTCTAATTACCTACATGCTTTCTAATTTTCCTCATTTCGGCGTAGTTAATTTCAGCCATTAAGAAAATTGAGAGTTAATGGACTCATTTTCTTCTCGCTGCCTTATGTTAATGTACACCGCTCGCTATTTTATCAACAAAGAGAGAAAATTAGTTTCAACTTCTAACCCAAAAATAATTAGTTATGTATATGCATAAAGCTACTTTCGAATACATTTTCGCAATTCAATTCACCTACAACGCGACGAAAGAAACGATCCGCCCCTTGCGACGTTCAAACGAATTTAAAGCGACAAGCACCTCTCGACGATGTTAATTTGAAAATTAAAATAATTAACTTTTCGACTTTTTGCAGGCAGTCCGCAAAAATGAAGATGAGCAAAGTCGGTAACCAAACAAATTCGCAAGATCCTCAAGCGGTAAACTCGAGGGTTTTTGTCGGAAACCTCAACACATTCCAGTGTTCCAAAACCGACGTCGAGAGGATGTTTCAGCGCTACGGCCGACTTGCAGGTAATTATATTTTGCGTTCTTAATAAGCCATTAGTCCTTTCAGCGGCCGCACTTCACAATTTTATTTTTTAAAATACCTTTTATTGTAATATATTATAAACCTTTCTCGCATATTTATTTAAAATTGCATATTCCATGTCTATATGTCACCAGAATGAATGCATCAAATGCTGTTTTAACCGCACAAGAAAATTATACTAATCAACGTGAAAATTCCATTTTCGTCGTCCAAGCTATTTTCCGCTAGTGCTTTTATGTGCAATGCAATATCTACTGACGTTTTTCCATTTCAAAATTAATTACAACAATTAAGAAAACGTCGTTTTCCGAGCACGGCTGTATTTTACGTTTTATCTGAGCCGAAAGTAGCCTTATATATCGCAACGTATCTAGATCAATAGGTAATAATTACACTTTGCTCCCGTGCAACGCCAAACTTCCATTACGTATCAATAACTAGCCATAGATGACAAAAATTCGAATTTTAAAAGCTCCAATTATCAGTCTATACTAATAAATTCACCAAAATATGTTCACCTACATACTTCGATTTGTTGATTTGTGAATCAATTTCAGACAAGTTTTTTTATCGATTTCGCACACTTGATAATGTTACGTAGTTTTAGCGTATGTCTAAAATTGATCCACAATCCTTGATGCTGGGCCACAGACTCCTGATTTATTTATTACCCTTCTCTTGTTCTGGGCCGTCAACAGGCTTGCGCCCAATTGCAGAGTGACCCGCATAAGCTTTAGAGGTGCCTCTGCAGAAGGTCTAAGTTGTTCTTTACTACTCCGATATTCACCTTACGAACTAGGAAAACTGCAGGAAAACCTAATTCGGAGTAGCCGGGAGTATGCTCGAAACTGGTCTAAAGAAATTCCCATCTCTGTCACAGATGAAACACTTCGAGTGCTTGGACTACTTTGAGAACTACGTCGACTAATCCCACTCCGTTCTCATAGCTCTAATGCGCCGACGCAGACAAAAAAATCGTGTGATATGCGCCTACACTATGATCATTGAGCTTCATTTTTCCGAATTACTTCAAGTACTTCAGTTACTACCTCGAGTACCTCGAGTGAAATGTACCCCTACTTCGACTAGTGGACCAGTCTTGAATTTAAGATCCTTGTATAAAATGCAAAATGCTTATTGAAAAACCACTGAAGAAGATATGATAAAAATGTTTGAAATGTACACTGTACAGGGTGGTTCAAGTTCGTGGCTCACTATTGGGATCTCCAAACGCTGAGGAATACATTGTAGGTTAAATGGGGACAAAGTTGCCGCTTTTTGCGAGTAAAAAACTTGAAATATTTGAAAAATCTTTGAAAATAATTGAGATATCACCGAAAAACTGAAAATGTCAATCATTTTTCCTAGCTTAAACGGTCGTAAATGGACGATTCCCTTTAGCTCCTTCTATGGATATTTTTTCGAAGAATTTGAGTGTGTGATATCATAATTTCCATAGCAAGCTAGGTGTAGAAGCTACAGACTACTACTTTCTTTTTGTGCTATGCATCTTACTATTTTTTAACTTGCATTCTACTCTTTCATATCACATATTGCATCTTACACATTGTATCTTGTAACTTGAATCTTCAATGTTCAATCTTCAATCTTCAATCTTCAATCTTCAATCTTCAATCTTCAATCTTCAATCTTCAATCTTCAAGCTTCAATCTTCAATCTTCAATCTTCAACCTTCGACCTTCAATCTTCAATCTTCAATCCCGAATCTTGGATCTCTTCAATCTGCATTTTGAATCTTGCATTTTGCTACTTTCATTTTGCACCCTCCATTTTACTCTCTCCATTTTGCGCCTTCCATTTTTCACCTTCCATATTGCACCATCCATTTTGCACCTTCCATTTTGAACTTCACATTTTCCATCTTGAAATCTTACTCATGCACTCTACATCTTACATTTCGCATCTGCCATTTTGCGTCTTGAGTCATACTACTTGCACACTTTATCACACTTTATCTTCCATTCTGCATCTTAAATCTTGCAGTTTATATCTTGAATCTTGAATCTTGAATCTTGAATCTTGAATCTTGAATCTTGAATCTTGAATCTTGCATCTTGCATCTTGAATCTAGAGTCTTGAATCTTGAAACTTGAGTCTTGAATTTTAAATCTTGAATCTTGCACTTAAATCATAAATTTTGAATCTTGAATCTTGAATCCTGAATCCTGAATCCTGAATCCTGAATCCTTAATCTTGAACCTTGAATGCCGAATCTTGAATCTTGGATCTCTTCAATCTGCATTTTGAATCTTGCATCTTGCTGCTTTCATTTGGCACCCTCCATTTTACACTTCGTTTTACACTTTCTATTTTGCGCTTTCCATTTTTCACCTTCCATATTGCACCATCCATTTTGCACCTTCCATTTTGAACTTCACATTTTCCATCTTGAAATCTTACTCATGTACTCTACATCTTGCATTTTGCATCTGCCATTTTGCGTCTTGAGTCATACTACTTGCACACTTTATCTTCCATTCTGCATCTTAAATCTTGCAGTTTATATCTTGAATCTTGAATCTTGCATCTTGAATCTAGAGTCTTGAATCTTGAATCTTGAAACTTGAGTCTTGAATTTTAAATCTTGAATCTTGCATCTTGAATCATAAATTTTGAATCTTGAATCTTGAATCTTGAATCCTGTATCCTGAATCCTGAATCCTTAATCTTGAACCTTGAATGCCGAATCTTGAATCTTGGATCTCTTCAATCTGCAATCTTTTGAATCTTGCATCTTGCGGCTTTCATTTTGCACCCTCCATTTTACACTTCGTTTTACACTTTCTATTTTGCGCCTTCCATTTTTCACCTTCCATATTGCACTATCCATTTTGCACCTTCCACCTTTGAACTGCACATTTTGCATCTTGAAATCTTACATCCTGCACTCTACATCTTGCATCTTGAATCTGCCATTTTGCGTCTTGAGTCGTATTTCTTGCACAATGTATCTTCCATTTTGATTCTTAAATCTTGCAGTTTATATCTTGAATCTTGCATCTTGCTCCTTGCACTATGACACCTTGCGTCTTAGACTTTTAACCTTGAATCTTGTATTTTATAACTTGCACTTGACATTTTTCAAATTAAATCTTGTATCTTCCATTTAGAATCTTGGATTTTGAATCTTGTATCTTGCAGCTTGCAACATCGATCTTTTCACCATGCATCTTGCATCTTTTATTTTGCATCCGAAATTTTAAATTTTACATCTGAAATCTTGCTCTTTGCATCATGCATTTGTCCATTGGATCTCAAATGGTGAATCGGATATTTTAATCCTGAATCTCGATTAAAATCTAAAATATGCTTGGTTGATTCAGGTTGAACTGGGGATATGCTCTAGTGTATAAAAAACAAATTCCCAGGTGTAAAAGGTTTGTGAGTGAAGATTAGATTAAATTTACGTGATCAGTTGAGGTATGAATTCGGCATGTGCCCCACGTTGGGTGCCAAATGAAAATGCTATGTGCGCCACGTTAGACGCCAAATACATATGCTATGGCCCCACGTTCGGCGCCGAATAAAAAATGCCGTGTGCAATGTCAAACGGGCACTAAACCACCCACATAAACACCTGCCCAGCTAGCTAAATTAATATTTAACCTTTAAAAATAATCATATTTCTGAGGCACGTCCAGACTCCGCCACCACGAAAATCTCGATATTAACGTAAAGAAACTCAGTGGCATTGAACAACTTCCGATCATTCCAAAGAGTTAATTAAATAAAAACTGATAACTTGAAGACCTCTTAAGCGACCAACCTTTAAATACAGCTCCGTTTTAACGTAAAAAACTTGATTCGCCTCTTCCACTACGCAGAGACAATACCACAAACGCTTGATCAACAAAGGCATCGTTTAACGTCGTGTCGTGCTTTTCCCTCCCCCCTAGCACTCCCCATTTCCGTTCCTTCTTCTTTAAAAAAATATCTTGTGATTTAATTAACGTAACGATAAGAAAACTTATCTACAACGGGAGAAAAACATGAGATAAACTTTTACAGATGCTGTGCAAATTATTTCCAGGCGTTTAAATCTTATAACACGTAAATTTCTTTACAATTATAAATAAACAAAATTGAACACCAAATAATTCTGATGCCACACAAAATTGAGCTACATACGTTCCTTTTTTTCTGTGGAAGCATAGGGTGCGTTTTAATGCAAGGTGACAATCGGTTAAGCTTACCTCAAATATCAACGTACACAGACGCGATTGCTAGAATTCCTTATTTCTACGAAAAATACCGAGCGAGAAATTCCTATACTAGGTGCGCTTCAGCAAGATGGTGTGTGAGCAATCTATGATCCTTAAGTTTTGATCGTTGAGTTATAATTCTTGAGCCTTGATTATTAAGTTTTTTGGGAGGTTTTCTTATTGTTTTGATTCTTGTGCGTAGGTTGATGTTTGAGTCTTGATTCTTAATTCTTGGATCTTGATTATTGACTCTTGACTCCTTAGTCCTCGTTCTTGATTTTTTATGCCTGATTCTTGAATATTGATTCTCTAATCACGATTCTTGATGATGATTCTAGAGTCTAAAATCTTATAACTTGATCATTGAGTCTCGGTTCCTTAGTCCCGGGTCTTTATTTTTGATGACTGATTCCTAAGAATTGATTTTTTATTTCTGAGTATCCTTGAATCTTGATTCTCGAGTCTTGATTCTAGACTATTGATTCTCGAGTTTTGATCCTAGAGCCTTAATTAGCGAGTCTTGATTCTTCAGTTTTGGTTTTCGAGTCTTGATTCTTGAGTCTTGATTCTTTAGCTCTGGTTTTTGTGCATCATGCCTATTAAATACGTTTGTTTGACTCTTGATGCTTTAGTCTTAATTTTTTACCCTTTATTCGTCAATCTTGGTTCCTTAGTCCGGGTCCTCGATTTTTGATTCCCGATTCTTGAGTATTGATTCTTGAATCTCAATTCTTTAGTTTTCATCCTTGAGTCTTCAT